TATTTTGGCAGGCAACGTGCCGGCCATTTTTCTATCCTTATCACAGGCAGACATCTCCCCCCTCGCCCCGGACACACGCCTCCCTCTGCCATAAAACAATCACTTTTGAGGGGGCGGTCACGCGTCTGCGTTCCTTCGGGTGACCCCCATCACGCAGCACTCATCCACACTTAGACGGAGGCTTAAGCATCGCCAAGAGAAATGCTTGGCTGTGAAACCAATTTTGACCGCAATTCTATCATTTTTTTGATTGTTTTGCATGTTCTCTTACGGTTCTTTACAGCGTAATGTATTCGATTTGGTTTGGCTGTGCGGCTGCAAAGGCAACCGTGCTAAATAAGCACATGCTGAAACAGCATTCACCCCGAGCATCCACTTAGCTGGTGATTGCTAAAGCAGATGTTGCTGCCGGGCTTCCAGGTACTGTAGGAATCTGTGGACGCAAATGTCTCCCTTTCAGGGCCAGAGACCAAACTCCCACAGCTGAGACATCCTCTTCCAGCATCATCCCCGCCGTCCACCGTGCTCAAACACATCTTGAAATATATTCTCATCCACACGAGAATCAAAGCCCCTCACAGGGTCCTCTAGGAAACATCCTGTTAACATTACTGCCTCTAGAGCCTTCCTTCCTCCGCCAACGGACGCTGATAAACGGTCATTTTTATGTGCATTGTTTATGTGCAGGTGTGAAGGGCATTAAATCATGTTTTTAGTCATGGCATTGAATGCAAATCAGGAAATCGAAAAATTAGGATCCTCTAATGAAACCGTCCCGAAGAAGCAGTAATGTAGCACTTTGGAGTCAAAACATATGACCAATAAAACTGACTGAAGGGATCAGAAAGGCTTCGAGCATAAAAGGACAACCGTTCCACGGGGATACACTTCAGGGTCGGTTAAAAACGTCTCATGATAAAGAGTGTGAGACTCAATTCAGCAGTCAGTCAATATCATTGATACGAAGCAAAAATTCGTTGGTACCCATGGTCAAATATGAGGATTTGTTAGATTGTGTAGTTTAGGGCAGGACAAAGACTAGGGGGTCTTTCATGGAGTCAAGACGAGCAGGACAAAGACTAGGGAGTCTTTCGTGGAGTCTTCGGGGCGGCTGAATGCGGCGCCTTCTTCTATTTTTGATAATGTGTTTGACCCCTTTACCCATACCGGCCGAACCTCTTCCCGCAGATACTACAGGCCTCGGGCTAGATCCGCTCTCTATCGTAACCTCTCCTCTCTCACCTATCCCACCCGCTCCACTCATGTCCAGCACCTCGTCACAGGAGGCCTCTGGAACTGCCAGTCAGCTGACTAAATGTATTTGGGTTGAGGAATGTTAAACATTTGAAACAGGAAAACGGGGGGACATTTACTTTCTCAGATTTAAAAGAAATGATGAATAGATCAAGATGATAACGGTGGGCGGTAGTTTACTCAATCAGAACCGCTGGTTGGAAGCTCCTAACACTTTTACAGAATTAAAGAGGCTGCTTCAGACAAGTTCCGTCACAATTCGACCTTCACACCCATTCCAGCTCTGATTGGCCAGCAGCCGAGATCAAAAAGGAGCCGGGGCTGGAAGTTCTGTCATGATATGCGTTCACAGCTGAGCTCAGTAATGCGAAGGTTGTTCAGGAGAGACGGCCTGAAAATGGGTTTTTATATTCCAAAACTGGAATAATTCATTCCTGAATAATTGGCTCTTCACTCTTCCCTAAACTGTGGCCAATTGAAAAACAAGCGAAATATAACCAAAGAGGCTATTGCACCTCAGCACGCTGACCGAACCAGGAAGCCCGTTAAAGAATCCTGTGTGAAACGTCACAAGTTGTTGTTTGATCATTCACCATTTTGTACAAGTAAAATCATTATGTCGTTACTCAGAGCTCATGACTCCCTGATCCCGTTTCAATAGCTTCTTTAATCCGCACACAGACAGGGGCGTTTAACCAAAAGGTAAAATGCCGATTCATCACATCCAGAAACTGAAAGTAGTTCTCTGCAAAGGGCACGTGGTTGATGCCAACCTAATATTAGACAGCTGCCTTCCTGTAAAACTGCCCTTGAGCAAAGCAGCATAATACACAGAGGAGCTGAGCTGTGTCACACGCTTTTAATCAAGGCCTTACCTAATCTGATAAAAGCAGCAGACAACTGGCCTTTTCATCACTACCAAGAAAGTAACAAATGTCTGACGGAACAACGAGCATCTGATCAGCACACACAGGAGAGCAAAACACACTCAGTGTAAAAGTCAGGAGGTGTAGGAGAGAGAGAGAGAGAGAGGATAAAAAAGTAATTGGGCTGTTACTTTGGCCTAGTAAAACATTACAATTGTTCAATAAAACATCTGCGTTTTCTCTTTCACATAAATCTCCAGAAGTGTTTATGGATATAAGGAAAAACAATAAATCATTTTACGTGAACAGAAGGTTTTTTTTTCCCAACGCAGGAGCAGCGAACGGTAAAATCAACACACACGTGGATCTGCTCCACTGATACTGAACACACATTTGTCCAATAGGAAGAAGGCAAGACCTCCTCCAATGACACACAAACGCCCGCGTAGGACATTGATTGGATTTCCATTTTCATGCATATTCATAATTTCCAAATAAAAATTGAATTGAATTGAATTAGCTCCTTTATCCCATCATCCTATTTAACAGTTATGTAAAGTTTCCTAGTAGTTCCTGAGCTGTCGTATTTACAGGAATAAGATGAACCTGAGGTCAAAGTGACCTTCACCTGTGACCTCTAAAATCGTCTCAGTTAATCTTTCATTGAGAGGATAAGTGAGCCACATTTGAAGGAATCACTTCCCGGTTTTCCTAAGACGTTCCATTCACGTGAATGGTGCCAACAAAACTTTTCACACTTGAAAGTTTTGAACGTTTGAACAAATAAAATCTAAATGCAAAAGACATTCTGATCCATGTGAACTGTTTAATGGTACGTTCTGGAAAAATTGGGGCCACTAAAGGTTTATCTCAATTTCCTGAACTCCTCATATAATTCCCATAACAGTAGTGGATGGAAACACGGCTTTGAGTCACTATTGTTTTTGCCAATTCACAGAACATGTGTCCACGTGTTGCTCTTCGTTGGGTAGACTCATGGCTACTTTCACAGTTTGATGTGCTTGTGACATCAAATTTCGAGGCACCTGCCCTTTGACCTCTCGTTGACACCATTCTTATCGGTGTTTACGGGCCCTCCCTTCCACTGGGGGACGGTGTCCTGATCGCTGTCTCTTTTATGTCTTTCAGGATGTTGATTGACAGCTCAATGAGCCACGTCTGAGCCAGCTGCGAGGTCTCTCCTTGTGAACATTCTTTGCCTGGTTTAGTTAAGTTTAGTCTAGTATAGTTAACCTTTGAACACATGGTTTTATTTAGCCCTTTATTTATGTTGCAGTCCTTGAGCTGGTTGTGACGTCAGTAGAAATCTGCGATGGTGGATCATTTGGATTAAAGGGGAAGGCATCACAGCGCTACTATCTCACAGGGCTCATGTCCTCAGCGTTATTTTAAGTGGTATTGTCTTTGGGTACAGACTTCCCTCTTAATGTTTGTGTCTCTTTGCTTAGCATCAGGTGAGGTATATCAAATCAAGACTGTTTTTAATCTCCGTTAGTTGCAGCGGGGATCACTCCAGTATAGACAGGAGGAATACTATACGTTACAAGTAGCACCAGTAGATATTGGAATACAAGTTCTATTTTAGAACTTTTTTTTTAAAAATGTAAATCCAAATCATACATATGAAAACCATGTTTCAGTGCAAATTCAGATCTTTTAATCTGTATTTTACCAGATTGAAGCTGTTTCCATTCATTTATTTACAACAAATCCATTAGCAGTCTCTTAAAAACAGACAGAGTGAATGTATCCTCAAAATGTATTTCAGCGCCATAACGCAGGTGTAAGTACAGCAACTCCTAATCCCTACCAGGTCAAAGGTGAAACAAAGCACATGGCTCCATGACAGTGTCGCCGTTTATTGAATGCCGGGTGAATGTGAAGCACTGAAATGTCGACGTGAGTCCATTTCCCAATGAACTGCACGCGCTTTGCCGTCATTTACCAGCACGCACGCGGAGTCCCTCCCACAGGACCAGCGACACTCCCAACGTGCGACTTCTTATCTCTAACCAAAAAAAACAACCGCGATTTTCCAAGTGAACGTCAACAAGAAAAAAATCGAGCACAACGTGGGAGAGGAAAAAAATAAAAATAAAATAAAATAAATAAAGATAAACTTACCGCTTGCGCTCCGGAGGCGAGGATGGCCACGCAGAGGCACAGCAGCAGCATCCTGCAGCCAGAGGCGGTGACAGCGTTAACACACAGTACTGCCACCGACTTCCCCAAAAGCGAGGCTTTGCAGCGCAGCGGTCCGCTCACCTCAGGTCCTTCGGTCCTCCGTCCCGTTGTCCCGGCATGGTCCCGCTCGTGCGCACCGAGACACACTTCAAATCCACTGTTTCGCTCGTGGAAACGCGTCACTGCATGTCGGCCCGAACCCTGATGAGCAGGTCGAGACCCTCGAACGTTAATAAGCCCGATCACAGAGTCCGTGCATGCGATCCACCAGGAAACAACTTCATACTTTATCCCCCCCCCAAAAAAAACTGTTCTCGCGAGGTGCGCGCGGAACAGCTGGAACGATTACTCGATTTCCACGAGTGGTCAATATGTCATTAAGTGATGTTACTTACTGTGACGGGAATGGAGATCACGGGGCCGGGACGCTTCGGTTTGAGGTGTGAAGATACCTGTGGCACCAAAACCTGCTCCGATACTCTGCAAAAATAAACCCACCAAAGTGAGGCGCGCCGTCCCGATCTCCTTACCGAGAGAAGGCAAAGTGTTTGTAACATGCACGCTCGAGTCCCGTTTGCATGGGGGCGACGGGGGTCGGTTTTTTTTTTGGGAGGGGGTGTGGTGCAGCAGAAACAAGACCAAGTTGCATTGATCGGGACTTCACATCGTCTCGGACAAAGATGCAGCCCAACGTGTCCGCGCTCCTCCGATGAGTCAATAGTTTACCAGAAGAGCGCGAGAGAGCACGAGGAGCTGCAGACAGGTGTTGTTGTGTTCTTAATTTATTTTTTTTAATTGTTGCGGGTCCTCCGCCATGCTGCTGCCGTCCTCCACCCTGCTGCTGCTGGCGGCTCTGTACGGCGGCGTAGACCTGACGGGGGCTGAGGTGAGTGGATGGAGAACTACACCTTAGGACGCATATCTCCTAAACTTGGTTCCATTAAGGGAAGGAGAGCAACTTTTAAACAAAGTGCCTGCGACGGAGTTTTAGCGTAGACGTGCACACAAGTCGGATAGTATATTACCACATGCATCTAGTGTATTGTGTAGTGCATTCTGTAGTATTTGTGTAGTATTTGTGCTACCGTGTGTTTTTCTTTGATGAGTTCAGACCGTTAAGTAAACTTTAATAACTGTTCATCTGTTACTGAGCTTCAGTCCCATTTCAGCGCTTCACTGTCAAATAGAGTCTCTACATCTTCTGTTTGTTGTTTGTTTGAATATTCCTAAATGTAATTATTAGTTTTATAACTGTTATTACGTGTCGCTTCAAACACTTCTCATCTGTTTGTGAGGCAGTTCTAATACTTCAGAGTTGAATTTACTCGCAGTGAAGCCTCTTTTCCAGACGGGGAGAGAGAGAGAGAGAGAGAGAGAGAGAGAGAGGGAGGGAGAGAGAGAGAGAGAGAGAGAGAGAGAGAGGGAGGGAGAGAGAGAGAGAGAGAGAGAGATATGCGGGCGTGTGTGTTTGTTAAAGGGGGAGAGGACGGAGGGGAGAGGCGGGAGGGGAGTAAGTGGGTAAGAGGGAGACTTGGATATATTATAGTGAAATACCTTAATGCATCAATACTATGTTTAGATTATCCAATACAATCGTTGTGATTGTGTCTCTTTTAGAGACCTTTTTATAATCTTAAAGTGAGTATCATGTTCGAGTGGATAAACCGATGACACCGAGTGTGTATCTCTTCTCTCAGGGTATACAAATGTTATGTTCGACATAAACATTTTTAATGCACTGATATCTGATGGTGCAAGGGAGTGGAAATATTATGCGTTCAACCAGTTTTGTCAGTCAATTTTTCGCAGGGCAAATGTTTGACCAACGGGAATTTCTTGGCTGCAGTAGGCGGCATCCCACACGGCCAACAGCAAGGTTCGGACATCCAGGTTTCTCATTCAAAAGTAGTTCAATGGAAAACAATAATATGGCAGGAAGGACGGGGGCTCCGAGTCTCCCCTGAGAACAGAGAGAGTTCAGAGGCCTGCTGCTCCGCTCCACCCATCATTTGTTTTGAAGGGTGGGTGGAGTTTGTGGCAGAAACATCTCTCACGTGAGTAACAGAAATCCAGGTGAGGGGGCGAAAAACACTTGTGGACCGTCTCAGGAGTAAAGATGAGGAAATACCGGCTGTTAATTTGTTTGCATTATTGCGCCATTGAGCTTCATGTTCAGTTTCGGGGCAAATTGACACCTCTCAAGGAAGCCTGCTATTATCTTGTGGGGACTTTCTCTATTTCCCGGAGGGATTTAGAAATTTATATTTTCACCTGTGATTGATCGTAACTGCAATTTCTCGTCACAAATACAAAAAGTCAACTCGAAAATGAACGACCCACATCCACACTCCTAAAACCTTTCCTCCTTTATCCGCAAACTGGGCATAGTGGCATTGATGTCCCGTCCCCTGTGTCTTATTTAGGAAAACCGATCCTCTTATTTATTGCATATTTAGACAAAGCTTTGATAGAAGTGTACGATGCTGAGAGGCAAGAAATCAGGTTAAACAAAGCAGCAGAATGAGCTGTTTATCTTCCGTCTGCATGGATTTAGAAGCATAAACACGAGAGAGACGTAGGACATCTGGACACAGAGAGGACGGGCGAGGAGGTGTTTAAGTGGCCGAACATCTTGTCTCAGGTCAGATGAAGCCGATGACATATAGAGTGGTTCAACAACAACAACAGGATTTATCGTTGGGATTCAGCTTATTTTCCCATCCACCCATTAGAGGTTCAAAACAGGAACTTTGCGCTCCTGTCATCCATCCAAAGCAGCCCGGGGGACGGAAAGGGGCTTTCCTCACCAGCTATGTCCGTAACAATGAAATGAAATACTTAACGGCCTTTTGCTTTTGTGTCCTGCATCTTCATTATTGTGAATCTGGTGAACAAAATCAGTGTTTGGCCAAAGTCCTCATGGCGCTTTAGTATGTTTATCTCTTCTACTCTCCACGTATGCAGAGACGTGACACTGACTGAGTATCGCAGTCTCCTGTTTGGGCTTCTTCACCATCAGTGGTGCCAAACTGAGGCCGGTGGTGAATATACCGTATGGACATTTCAAGGCCAATCCCTGATATTTACATTCCGCTGGCTGACATCAAAACTGAGACAAAAGTGTAACGTGACAAAAGTGTAGAAGTGAAACCCAACACTCACAAGTGATGACTCTGAGACGCGTCTGGGTCACGTTGACTTTGCAAAGGTCATAATAAAAAGATTATGCAAGATTGGCTTCAAGCCCTACGCTCTATTTATGGATGAAGCAACAAGCTAATATTTAGAACCATGTCAACCTTTGCTCCCAATACTTTCAACACATCATTCGATGAGTATATTTCCCCACTGTTTAAACGAATAGAGTGTCTCCCTTGGCGGTCATTTAATCAGGACAGAATGAGTCATTAGTAATTCCTAGAGGAGGAGAAGGAGGAGGATGAGGAGGAAGAAGATCAGATTAGCAGAATCCTGGAGTGAGAGTTTGTGTGTGGGATGTTGGGAAAGGAAGTAGCTGGTGGGAACGATGAGCCTCTGAGTTCTGCCAGGTTCCACCTCCCGGCTTTTGCCCTGGTTTCCCAGGACAGGGTGAACCCACATGTGTCGGGAGCTGTTAAAGTGTGTAAATCGCCTGTTGAAAGCTCGGAATCCTGCTGTCCAATGCGCCCACAAGGCTGCCTCTTCCCCAACAGGCACAACAGCTGACCCTCTTACTGTTACCGGCCACCAGCCAAGCAAGGCACCCTGGGAAGGCATAAACCTGCCTGACCCCCGTCTCCTCCCAGTGCTGTAAAAATGCCTACATTTGCCGGAGTTGCGATCATGTGAGTGTGCCTGTATTTTGACAGCAGCCTCCGGCGGGCAGAGATAACACTTCCCCAGCCTTGATGCTCAAGTAGTAAAGGATTAAGGAGTAAATAGAGGTTAAGCATGGTAAAGACTGTTTCAATTCCCCGCGGTCCAAACGTCACCGATGAGGCATTTATTGATGTTTGCAACATTTGCTTTTCACATCTTCAGTCTCACGCTGATATTTTCCGCGCTGGTGTTGATGCTCGGGATCGGTTTACCTCCTGGAGGTGTGTTGCTATGGTGAAAGCGCTTTTCGGTTAACTGTGAAATCGGTGAGTCATGAAGGTTAATTTTTGGTTCGGTGGGAGACGGCGTAATGGATACATCTGTCTGACAGGGAGGTGGGAGGAGGAGAGTGATGATGGGATGTAGCGGGTGGCTCTGTGGGGTGAGAGAAGGAAGAGGCGAGGGTGAGGGTGGAGGAATGTGGGTCGGAGCCAGAGATTACAACCCGTAGCAAATCTCTTTCTCTCATAACCTTGACCTGAACTTCCACCCTGCTGCTGCAGAGTTGTCCAATCGAGACTGTTATGGGATCATTACATTGATCACTTTGTGGGGGAGACTTGTTGAAATGTGATGGTTCGTTCGGGCGGCTGTAAATAAATAATAAATATGAATAATGTAATGCTTCACTGCCTTATTAAAACATTTCCAGACAACCTTAACATCTGTGGTTGCCATGCAGGATAGTGTAATTCTGGCTCAAAGGTATTTGTATGTGGAGGTTTTAGGTATGTGGGAACCTGCAAAAATGCTAGATTTATTAATCCGGGTGAGCGTAGGTTTGCTTTGTTCAAATATTGATCCATTACAACCTGATACGACCACATTTTTTAGTGGGACTTAAAGCTCCTTTGCACTGCATGTGCAAAGCTTGGTATGAATCTAGCAGACTGTATCTCATCGATGAGTCTTCCAGGAGAAAGCCTATTGATGGCACACGTCTTTAACTGTTTAAAGCCTTAATAACACAAGAACCCAACGTGCTATTTATCATTTCAATGTGATTATTAGCCGTAGTATGTGCTTCATTACACCGAGGTTGAGTGAAATTCAGCCATGTCTCAGATATCCAATGCTCCCATAATAGAGTGGTTATTCATGCCTTGTTAAGATAAATACATTAGGTGTGTGTGTGTATGTGTGTATGTGTGTGTGTGTGTGTGTGTGTGTGTGTGCATGTTTAACAATACATTGCAACAATCACGACAAATATTGGTAATGCCGTTTCAGTTTTGTCCTCAACGCTGGAGCTTCCCAGATAAACATAGTTTGTGTCTTCTCCCTCTGTCAACATGAGAGAATTATCGGCATAAGTTGTTTGTTTTAGAAGTCATTAACCGGCCTTGAATACAGAATAAGAAGGTCTAAGACAAACCCTTACGTTTCCTTTATTTTTGTTTGTGTCTGAAAGAAAAAGACAGTTTGTTCTCATAAGAATTTGTTAAAATCAAATAAAGATCAAATCTGAGGTGGCTTTAATGAACAGCTGACCTTTTATACCCCTCCACAGAACTGCGTGTTCCTGATAAATCACAGAAGATTGCAGCAATGGAAAAGAAAAGAAAGAAAAAGAAAAAAAATGTCATTGATATTTGTGCCGTGACAGCTTTTTTTTGCATGATTGCTTAGACTCAAGAAAGTATTGCTGTCAGTCCACTATGGTTTTAAACTCTGCTGCATTTTAGTAATGTTTAGTCAAGCCAGAGCAAAAAAAACTAAAAAATCATCTTCCCCACATCCAACTCTGGTGGAAATACCTTTTTCTTTCACTTTCATTTCACTGATCCAGCGTATCGTAACCTAAGTAGTTCAATTATTGAGCTATCAGGTAGCAGGTGGACCCAACTTTGAGACACAAATTGAGAATAAAACAACGTTTAGAGTCTGGTAGTTTCCACAAAGCCCCAAGGATTTATTAGTGAATTCTCAAAATAACTAACTAACATCTGACTGTCACTGTTTTGGGCCGAGGGACAAGGTGTTCAACTGATGGAGTTAGTGATGATCGATTGAACGAGGAAGGAGACA